TTGTGTCGTTGTTGAATGCTTATTAGTTGATGGATGCCGTAACTATGATAGGAGTTCCTAGAGCATGATGAGAGATTGAATCATAATAAAAATTAATAATGAATGAAGCAGAGTATGTTATGAACAAAAACATTCCAATATTAACAACAGGAGAGAGAGTGGAAAAGTAAGGATAAAAGAGATACATAATGACAAATTGAGATATAAAGAAGAATGCCTTGTTTTACAACCCTTATTTTATAATTTGCATTGTACCAGATTGTAAAATAAAGGTTATTAGATAGAGGTTAAGTTCTCAATATTAAGGGATCCACTCTTATTTGATAGTTATAATATACATTACACAATATTTTTTCTTACAAAGAATGATTAAAAAATAATAATATAGAAAGATAACTTAAAAAGTGAAAGAATATATATATATATATATAACTACTAATACAGAGAGGAAAATAGAGGGGGGAAACTACTAATACAGAGAGGAAAAGAGAGGGGGGAAGCAAAGAGATAGAGTTGCAAAAATAATAATAATAATAATAGTGATAGTTCCAAAAGAAATAATGATAGAAGTAAAGGCAAGTGAAAAAGTATTAGAAGAATAATACTAAGTTACATCTTTTATATTTTGACATAAATCTTTTCTAATAAAAATATGTTAAATAGAAAAAAAAAATGTTGATAGATTGAAATAACTAGAATGCTTAATAAAGAATGATATAGATGAGAGTATAATAAAAGAAAGAATAATATGTATGGTAGAGAATTAAATATAATGATATAAAATGTTTAGGAGGAAACCAAGAGATGGAGTCTCAACAAAAATTAATGAAAGATAGACTAAAGGTAGCGGATACTGATTGGTATATATTTTGGTTCAACAAATGCATAACATACTCATTAAAACATCATTGTTTTCTTAGTTGAAATTAAAGTTAGATAAATTTAAAGATGTAGCCTTGCCTATAGATATAAAAATTGACCGAATGAGGCTGTACTTTTTTTTTTTGTATTAACCTTCCGATATCTGGTAACCATATTGGATCCTAACTAATTAGGTTACATTTATATTATATTGTAATAATTAAACAAGATGAGTGTTATAAAGTGTGTTGAACAAAGTATATATAAATCATTTTTCAAAAGCAAGTGAAAAATTAAGTACTAAGAAAATAATGTTGAGTCTTGCTTTTTATGTTTTGAGTTAAAAACATTTCTAATATATAAAGGGAGAGATAGGAAGACAAATGGGATAAAAAAGATCTATAATAATAGAAAGATA